TCATTTAAGGGTTGTACTTATGTTTACTAGCTTTTTTTTATAAAAGCAAAAAGTCAAACTTTTATAAAAACTTAGTGTTCTTATAAAATAGTGTAGTTTTTACAAATAAAATAAGGTTTAAGAGGTGTATAAAATATTTAATTTAAATGAACAATCTAAATTATTATGACAAATATTGTTATCATATAAAAATACGTTACATGAATAGTAACTTTCCAAGTTCGTTTCGTTAAGCCTCAATGTTTAGACGAGTATAAACTTTGTCGTATTTGGTGACGAATTCACCAAAAAGTTGTGTTTGTAGTCTTTGTTATGTTTTTACCCCGTTGTGATAGGTTTATGAACCTCACTATATTGTTTTTCGAGTATTATTTATTTTCAAACAATATATAGCTGTATCGACGAGTTGTTACGTTACTAACCCTAATTAGGGTTTATATTTCATAGTTGGAAAATCCCGAGTAACGCTTTGCATTAACATTGTAAGTTGTGCATTAGGAATTTCAGAAAACATAACGTTTGTTTCTAAAATCCTAATACCAGTTGAGTTGACTTGGTTGACTTATTGACTTTGGTTGACTTGGAATTGATTGTTGTCTCAAAAACCAAGATTTGGCCCTTGACATTTGCATGGAAGACCATGGTTTGGCCATTGACAATTTTATGGAAGACCAGGATCTGGTCATTGTCACTTGTACAAGTAAAGACCATGATTTGACTCATGGTAGGAAGTAAGACTATGATTTGGCCTATAAAAATCGCCTGGGGGTTGAAATAAACCCGTTATGTTATGTATGGTATGTTGTATTTTTGGGGAACTCACTAAGCTTTGTGATTACGATTTTATGATTTAAATGTTTCAGGTACTTATGGTTCCAAAGGGAAGGACCCGACATAATCACACACCATCTCATAAAGTTCATTCCGCACTATTTATTTGATTAACTTTGATGTTTGAAACTACTTTATACATTGATTGATTTTGGAAACAAATGGTTGTATTGTTTTTGGTATTTTGAAAATGAAAATCTTTTACTTCGTATTTTTGGGATGTTACTAGAAAATATGAAATTTTTTTACATTGATTGATGGTGTAAATTAACGAGTTACCTATGATAATATGATGTAACATAGCTAAAATCGAAACCGATCACACACATCGGTTCCCGTTTTAACTTTTAAGTTTCGGTATGGTTTAGATTTCAAGGACAATCACTTTGTCAAAATATTCACCATCAAATTTACATAGAGTTTTACTTCGTATAAACAAAATATTCTTTAAAGTTTTGTGATACGCATGTAATCTATTTCACTATTTCTTCATTATTATTTTGTATTAAGATTTAAGTGTACTTGTTTCTTTCTTGTGCTTTTATTACGATTTTATGATTTAAATGTTTCAGGTACTTATGGTTCCAAAGGGAAGAACCCGACATAATCACACAACATCTCATAAAGTTCATTCCGCACTATTTATTTGATTAACTTTGATGTTTGAAACTACTTTATACATTGATTGATTTTGGAAACAAATGGTTGTATTGTTTTTGGTATTTTGAAAATGATAAATTTTTACTTTGTATTTTTGGGATGTTACTAGAAAATATGAAATTTTTTTATATTGATTGATGGTGTAAATTAACGAGTTACCTATGATAATATAATGTAACATAGCTAAAATCGAAACCGATCACATACACATCGGTTCCCGTTTTAAGTTTCGGTATGGTTTCGATTTCAAGGACAATCACTTTGTCAAAAAATTCACCATTAAATTTACATAGAGTTTTACTTCGTATAAACAAAATATTCTTTAAAATTTTGTGATAGACATGTAATCTATTTCACTATTTCTTCATTATTATTTTGTATTAAGATTTAAGTGTACTTGTTTCTTTCTTGTGCTTTTATGTACAAAATTTTGACATTTTTAATAAAAACATTATCAACTTTATTTTTGGTAAACATATTGCTTGATTATCTTATTATAGTAAATAGAGAAATTAAATATCCTCCTACTTTTTGTTCCTACAAATCTTCCTACCCAATTAAATAGTGACATGTGTAACATTTAATGAAATTTAATGATATTTTACTATACTAATATAACACATGTCATCATTTAATTGGGTAGGAGAATTTGTAGGAACAAAAGTAAGAGGATATTTAATTTCTCTAGTAAATAATGTTAGCGTTTGTGTGGTTCCTATATTATGGTTCCAATAATATTGTCTAATTACAACATGTTACAAATTGATAGAATAACGGAAACGAGTTTAAGTGGGAATGTATATAACAACTTATATGAGAAAAAATTATATGGTATGATCATATTGTAAGTATTATGTTGTGGAAAGAATAATGGAAATGAGTTTAAATGGGAATGTCAACTTATATGAGATAAAAAAATATATGGTATGATCATATTATAAGTATTATGTTGTGGAAAGAATAATGGAAATGAGTTTAAATGGAAATATGTGTAACAACTTATATGAGATAAAAAAAAACATGGTATGATCATGTTATAGGCTACTAATAACTTAGATCAACATTTTGAATAGATTAAGAAGTTATTACGCTAGTTTACACTTTATATGAGATAAAAAACATGGTATGGTCATGTTATAGGCTACTAATAACTTGATCAACATTTTGAATAGATTAATAAATTATTAAGCTAGTTTACACCTTTGGGTTTGAGATACACCAATTGAGTATAAATAACATTGATTTTCACCGTTTTAAGAATTATTTTGATTTAAAAGCAAAACCTAAATTATTTAACTCCATTCAATTCCATAATTATCAATGATGAACGACCTAAAAGATGGTCAGTCGATTCGAGGATGTGTTTGGATAGAAACAAGATTATAGGGTTCTAATTTAGTAATTATGGAATTCAAATAAGGAGGTGTGAGTTTGATTAGATAACCTTTCATTTTTATATAATAATCACTACATTTTAAACTTTATATAAATGTCACCATACTTATATGCAATGTTTTACCTATATAGCACACCTAACATGTTTATATTGTGCCAAACTTTAATGAACTGCAACATTAGTTCTTCATTGTAAATACATTGTAATTACAAGGACAATAACAATAACAATCAAATAGTGTTTTCTTACACCTTAAAAAGAATGTAAGTTGGATGCAATATTGCCTCAGCCCAAAAGTTTAGGGTTAGGGAGATACAATCACATACTATAGATAATTATAAATGAAGTTGAATGACACTCAACACTCAAGAGTAAGAACATGAACACTAAACATGTTCAAACCACCATAAATTTTCTTGACTTAAGTTTATGGTAAAAATTCATTGTAATTGTATGCATATAATACTTTATATGTAAAAATCCAGGATCAATTTTGTAAAATATTATATTAAGATTATTATTATTATTATAATTATATAGGATAAAGAGTGGAAATGAAGATTGTAAGGTTAATAATGATGAAAAGGAGTGAGATAAATAGAGTCGAGTCATATCCAGTAAAGTAACCAACAGTAAAGAAAAGATTTGCCCCAATTTCTTGCTGAATTTGACCGACCTTTTTGTACTCTGCCTGCCTCCTTATTATTGGCACCAACACAAACCCTTTCCTTTCCTTTCTTTTTATATTGTTTCCTCTTCCCCTCCCCTCTTCCTCTTCCCCCGCCTCCCCCTTTTTCTACTCATTTTCCACCCTTTCTTTCGTTGGATTCTTGTTTATCCCATGTCGGGTTTGTATAATCCCAACTTCTCTCCAGCAAGAGCTGTCTCTCCACTGATTAGAAGTAACGCAGATGTCGACAGGTTCGTCAATTTTGATGTTCTTCTCGTTTTCATGATTCTCAACTTCATCTTCTTTTTAGGGTTCTTCATAGTTGTTTGTTTTTGATCTATCCAACGCTGTCTTCTGATTGGTTTTTTGTTTTTGTTGTTTTTTTTTGCTATTGTCGCAGTCAATACTTGACTGAATTATTGGAGGAGCATCAGAAGCTCCAGCCTTTTATGCAAGTTCTTCCCATATGCAGCAGGCTCTTAAATCAAGGTTCAATTTCCTAGATCTTAATTCCTGGATTTTATACTTCTTGAGTTCATGCTTTGTGCAAAGAGAATTGTCCGATTGTGTGATGTAGATCCCCCCTTGTATCCTTTCGGACCAATAATGGAGGTTTTTCCTTCAATGAGTACTTTGGAAACTTTGCTCATCTACTCAATTTATAAACTATTCTTAATCTTATTGCATCTTTACCATTGCAAGTTATCCAATTTTTATAGTTTCTTCATAGAGGGAGGGAGACAGATTAATAACCTTGTGGCATAAATTCTCTTTATCAACTAAAATCTGTGTTTGCTCATGGTGTTAGATTTAGTGTTTGTAATGCCATTACAATCTACACCTGGTGCTTATCTATTTACAGTTGACACCCATACTTCACTCAATAATCTTGGAGGATGAGCACACTATAAAAGCATATAATACCCTTGTCCCACATTTAGGCTGCGTTTGTTAAAAGGGACAAGACTGGACTTGACAAAACTAGACAAACTTTTTACAACTATTTTTTGATGGGGAATGAGGGCAATCATGTCTTTTGCACGAGATCTGGAACAAGTCATTGTCTCACCATTTTGGGTTGAACACAAAATTGCAACTTTTGTCCTGTTGACATCAGGTTCTAGTCCTAGTCCAGTGCATGTCAAACACAGTAACAAAAAGTTTTAGGTTGTACTTGTATCTGACTATGATTGAGACTGATGTCAGCGAGAAAGACGTGAATGCCCTCTTCATCCTCATCATTGAAGTTGAATTGATGAAGTATTTTCATTCATGTATGAATTAGATGAAACTTAAATCATTTCATGTTTCCACTTTTTAACTAATTGCGTCAAATCCAATTATTTTTTTCAGAGATTGTGAGGGTTTCAAGTATGCTGCCAAATCAAGGGTTTAATGAGCTTGATAGACTACGCCATAGAAGTCCAAGTCCCATGGCATCTTCAAATCTTATGTCAAATGTTCCTGGGAGTAGGATTAGTGGCTGGAATGGTCTTCCACCAGAGGTACTTGTTTATTTCAATTTACTATTTTTTTTCAGTGATGTTATATTAATTGATAATACTTTGTGTTAAGAGATAAATACAAGTTCATGGTATATGTGTATGATCATATAAGCCTTAAAAAAACACTATCTTCTGTTTCTTTACTTCTTGCCTATTCTAACATTGATTTTTTGTGGACCTGATTATTCATTATGTTCCAAAAAGCTTTCACTCCATACTTTCCTAAACATAATCGTAACACTTTTGTTTTTTGGCTTGTCCTAAATTGGTTGCAGTCTTTTTTCTCTTTAAGAAAGTATTAGGACAAGTATGTAGAATAGGAAGATACTTTTGTTTTATTCTTATTCAAGCATCCTACTTTTATATTACAAAAGATCGTAATCTACTTTCCAAAATTGTCCATTCCAGAGCAATATTTTATCTAAGATTCAAGACTCAACTTTTTTTAATTGATTTTAGGGTTTGATTAGGAATCATATTTAGTTTTCATTTGTATAAAATTAGGGTTTGATTTGATTTGGAGTTTATAGTTTTAGATTTTGGTAGTGGTGGTGATAAGTCAATGGCTTCAAGAACATATAAAAGTTAATTAAGAATTCATACATAATTTGTATTTAAATTCATACATATAGATTATTATTTTTTCATAAACGAAAGTTGGTTGCTATTTTTGGATCATAATGGTTGTCTGATGACAGAGGTTAAGTGGGCCACCTGGAACAACAATGGACTGGCAAGGAGCTCCAGCAAGTCCAAGTGCATACACTGTGAAAAGAATTTTGCGGTTAGAGATACCAGTTGATACCTATCCAAATGTATGCTTTTTTTTATTATTATTATTATAATGGAAAATTTATATTTATAAATTATATTAATTAAATTTAATCTTGATATATTAATTTTTGGACTCTAGTTTAACTTTGTTGGAAGGCTTCTCGGACCCAGAGGCAATTCGCTAAAACGGGTAGAAGGTACAACGGGTTGTCGGGTTTATATAAGAGGAAAAGGGTCAATCAAGGACCCCGAACAGGTATTTTAATTTTTAATTAGTTTTAATTTTTTTTTTCGGTTCATCATTTTATTATTATTATTATTATAGGAAGAGAAGCTAAGGGGAAGACCAGGGTATGAACATCTAAACGAGCCACTCCACATTTTGATTGAAGCTGATTTACCAGCAAGTGTTGTTGATATCAGGCTCAGACAAGCTCAAGAAATAATCGAAGAATTACTCAAACCTGTGGTATTTTATCTTATCTTATCTTTTCTTTCTTATTCTTATTCACCGGAATTGGAATTCAATTCCATTCCTGTCAAAATACTACTTTAAAAGTCTCCACTGAATATCTGATAATAAATAAATATACAGGATGAATCCCAAGATTATATAAAAAGACAACAATTACGGGAGCTAGCAATGCTCAACTCCAATTTCCGGGAAGATAGTCCGGGACCCAGTGGGAGCGTGTCCCCATTCAACACAAGCAGTGGCATGAAACGTGCAAAAACCGGCCGCTAAAACACATGAATTTGATGAAACGGTGGAAACAGTTGAAATTGAAAGCAGATGAAACCGGTGAGGCGGTTGGTTTTTGGAATTATCATCATCATCATCATCATCATCATCATCATATATAATTGTACACACACACACTACTTGCTCTCCAAGATTCATGTTCGGTATGCTATGCATCTTCCTATATGTTTCATGGCTTTTGGAAACACAAAATACCAAAGTATAGGCTGTCGGGCGAATTTATTTTTTGTTTTTTTCGAAATTTTTTTTTTTAAATTTTAAAAAATTGAATGATGGATATAGCGACCAAGTACAAAGCGGAAAAAGTTAAAAAGTTGGGTTTTTTTTTTTTTTTTTGTTTTTAATTTCTTGGTTCTTAAGTTTATAATTATTCTTGTTTTGGTGATTATAAGGTGATGCGTGTTGTAAACTTTGATTCATTTGATTTATTCTTGTGTTGGTAAAACCGCGACATTATGCGTATATATATATATATTATTATTATTATTCATATAAATAGATTGGTGGACGTTAATGTTATTTTTATTATTATTTTATTTTTTCACTTTTTGCTTAAACTCAACCTGTGGATGAATGAATGGATACCGGTGTCATCTGTTATGACAACATAACATGCTTTGATGTGTACCAGGTGTTAAATATGTTCTTTCCAATGTGATGTTTTCGTAAATTCATTATTTTTGTAGGGCCTAAAAATTGTAAATTTTATAGGAGAAGTGCCTTCATCAGACAAGACCAAAGGTACAATGTGATATATTATTATGATATGTTGTTTCAAATACGTGATTTATAATGGAGTTTGGGTTCATACAAATATCACCCGAAGTAAAAAGGGTCTAAGGGAAATTTGGGGAAGTTATTTCTTAATATTAAATACTCCTAAATCTACATATTTATCCACCATGAGAAAAGTGAAAACCATTCACAAGAGAATGCTGGCAGGCTGGCACCCCAAAATTGCCAAAAGAGTTATGTGAACTTGTAGGATAGACAAGAGGAACTTGATGTTGATGAACAATTGTTACTTAAATTCTCTCCATGACATGGGCTTTAATCGTTAGGAAAATAAGGTAAACTAAACCATGTTATATCAAAACCTTCATTATTTTAAGAAGGATATTGAAAAAGCCTACAAACTTGATCTTACTCCTAAGCTTGAAGGTATCTACAATCCCTTTCATGTTGTTTACGTGACAAAGTGGCTCATTGAACAAGTTGATATAGGGCCACTCAATGAAATGTGTGGACGAGAACAAGAGATTGATTGAGGATCTTGAGGAAATCATTAAATGGAAAAGAGCACAAAAGTCATTGAGTTTACATCAAAATTATAATTTGATATTTATTTATTTATTTTGTCTCAAATTTGATTTTATAATTTTCAATTCTAACAACTTAATCGGTCAAACTAGTTGCCTACTAATGTGACATGATGACGTTACATACTGACATGTTTAAACTGAGTGTTTTTCTTCAAAAAAAAATAC